TCTTCCTTCCCATCCCCTAACTGCTGTCGCTGGTTTCTCCCTGAATTCATTCTGGCTCCCTCGGGTTCCCACACTAGGAGCTGGGTCCATCCCCGGCCAGTGCTCGCAGATGCAGACTAGCTCTCAGCAAGCCGGGCGCATGCCCATGGCAGGGTCTCTGGGCTCGCTCTAGCCAGAGTCACGGGCAGGTCGGTTTGTACCTGGCACAGCTCAGCCCTGTCCCCCTTCTCCCCCCCACGCTCCGCGCTCCAGCTGGATGAGAGCTGTCAGGAGCCTGCCTACAAGTGCAGAGAATCACAATCCAGCTCCCGGTGCTGCCAGAGCCAGGGGGACAAACCCTGCTCCGACCGACCTGCCGTCCAGTCCCACTGAACCCTGCTCAGCCTGGGCCTTGTGCGTGCGCATTGCTGGGCCTGTCTCGTCCCCCGTCCGTGCTGATGTGCCCCTGCGCCTGGGCCCGTCCCATGGGCCGTGAGAAATCTGTACTCCCGCTGCGCTCCACACACCCGAGAGGGCCAGCAAGTGCCCGGGCCCTGCAGAGCTCAGGGACACTTTTCTGGCCCTTCCAGGCGTTCAATCTCCCGGCCGGTAACAATGTGACCTCAGGTCTGGCCTGACTGTGACTAGTGTGGGGCCAAGGTATCAACTTCCTCCCTAGCGATGGCTCTGGAGCTGCGGGCAGCAGAGCTGCGGGGGGCAGGATCCCTGGTTCCTTTGAAATGAGCTAGGGCTGGAAATCAGCAACTAAAGGGAGCTCCATTTCTGGGGAGAGATGCCCCTGAGTTCCTGGAGCCTGGCTCCTCCGGCTCCGTTCCAAACAGTCCCCACTGATACCTGTGAGAGCAGCCCCAGGCCGGCAAGAGAGGGCTCTTGTGTGTTGGGATGCGGCAAATCAATATAGAACTGCACGTCCCTCCCCTCGTCCCAGGGGAACTCACAGGTTCATTTTGCATTGACACAGGGGTTGGGAGCTGGCCGGGACAGTGACTGCTCAGCATGGTGGGTTTCAATAGCACCAGCTTCCAGCCTGCGACATTCCAGCTGGCCGGGTTCCCAGGCCAGGAGGCGGCTTACCACTGGATCGCCGTCCCCTTCGTTGTGTTATACGTCACTGCCATGGTGGGGAATTGCCTTGTTCTCTGCATTGTCTGGGCAGACCGGCGTCTCCACCAGCCCATGTATCTGTTCCTTTGCATGTTGGCAGTCAACGACCTCGGGATGGCTCTGTCAACCCTACCCACTGTGCTCGGCACCTTCTGCTTCCACTTCACAGACATCGCTTTCAACGCCTGCCTGGCCCAGATGTTTTTCATTCACTCCTTTTCTATGGTGGACTCAGGGATTTTATTGGCCATGGCGTTCGATCGCTTGGTAGCCATCTGTAACCCGCTGCGCTACGCAGCCATCCTGACCCGGCCCAGGATCATGAGAATCGGGCTGGCTGTTGTGGTTAGAAACTTCAGTGTGTTGTTTCCATTTCCTTTTCTCATTAAACGCTTGCCGTTCTGTCGCTCCAATGCCCTCTCCCACGCCTACTGTCTGCACCCTGACGTGATGAAGCTGGCGTGTGCAGACATCTCAGTCAATGTCAGCTATGGCTTAGCTGTTCTTCTCTTGACCTTTGTACTAGACCTCTTGCTTATTTTCATCTCCTACGTTGTCATTGTGATGACCATCTTCAATATAGCCTCTGGGGGGGAACGCCTCAAGGCCCTGAACACCTGTATCTCCCATATCTGTGCCGTGCTAATATTCTACATCCCAATGATGTCCGTCTCTGTGATACACAGGTATGCTAGGCACACCCCTCCTCTAGTCCACTCTCTGATGTCCATATTTTACCTCTTCATACCCCCTGTGTTAAACCCCATCATTTATAGCATAAAAACCAAGGAAATTCGAAAGAGTATCCTCAAAATGTTCTCTAGGTAGCTAACCCAAACTGGAGATGGGAAAGGTTTCTTTAATATACTTCTCTGGGTTTATAAGTACATGAATGGATGGAGGGAGGCCGGGAGGGAGGAAGGGAGGGAGGGAGGGAAGAAGTTTGGAAGAAATGGGCAGATGGATGAGGGGTGGATGCATAGAGGGATGGATGAGGGATGGATAGATGGCAGGGAGAAATATGTTGTTGATGGATATGCGGTGGATGGATTAATGGATGGATAGGAGAAATGGGTTGATGTCTGAGGGGTGGGTGAATGGATGGATAGATGGACAGATGGACAGAAGGATGGATGGATAGATGGGAGAAAAATGTTGATGGATGAGAGGTAGGTGGATGGATGGATGGATGGATGGGCGGATGGATGGATAGAGAAATGGGCTGATGGATGAATAGATGGTTGGAGAGATGTTTTATAGTTTCTGAAGTCACTAATAATTCGGGGGTCTTCTATTCTGGGGCATCTCACCGAAGATACTGCACAGGGCCTGATTTCAAAAAGGTCTGGATTTAGGTTCTCCAAGAACTGGCACTTGAAGACATCTCGGTTTAGGCATCTACACACTGAAGCCACTAAAATCTCTAGTCTCCTTTCATATGTAGGACATTCCTTGTGCGTCAGGTGTCTGGCTGATCATGCAAAAAGAGACGACACCAACTCTGAGATGAGGTGGGGGAACTGTGGGCTTCTGGGAGATGTTTTGTCTCTAATTTATTCTTTATGCACAATTCTTTGTGTGAGGCAGACGGTGCCCAGCGTGACTGTCCTCTGTATCACAGCTGCACACTCCTCGGTAGCTGGAGCGAGGGGAGATTGCAAATGACTTATAAATAAAAGCCATGCAAACCCGACACAAGACCTCGAGAGCAGTTCCAACAGCTGATTCGTACGTGGGATTTCCTCCAGCAGCTCGGGCGTCAGCTCAGAGCTGCTCCTCCGTGACTTTCCGTCTGCCCCTGGCCGGCTGCCATCTCACCTCCCCCCGGTGTTAATGACACAGCTCTCAGGGCCAGACTGGGGCTGCTCCGTGCGCAAGGATGAACATGGGACCCCGCTCCCCGGCAGGCTCAGCGTGCTGGAGAGCTGGCAGCCCAGTGCCAAGCCCTGCGGGCCCCTTGGGCACTGCCCTGGTGCAGATCCAAGGGAGGGCGGGAGGCACGAGCCAGCAGGGATGTCCAGCTTGGCTGAGAGGGTGTGAGAGCGCAGCCCTGTCCGGGGTCGCACTGCCAGGGCCCCTCTCTGGACCCGTGCTCCAGCTGTGCTCTGGCGCAGGGGGCCAGGATGGTTCTGGATGGGGGCCAGGCTGAGTCGTGGCTCCACGCTCCCTCCCCGGGACGTGCCCTCCGCTCCCACCTCCCCCGCCTGTCCTCCGGGCATGGTCCCCTTTGCCCAGCCATGGCCTGTATGTGGAGGTGGGACGCCTTCCCTACCCCCAGCCTCAGGTGTGTGTGTTGGGAGGGGGGGCTGGCTTGGGTCACGTTCCCCAGGCACGTGTTGGGGGGCAGGCCTGGAGCTGGGGCCGGAGCTGGGCCTGGGTCATATTCCCTGGCCCTGGGGTGAATTATGGGTCCCGGGCTGGGCTGCTATCCCTGGTCCAGCGTTAGCTGGGGCTGAAGGACAGGTGCTGAGCCCTGTCTACAGGGAGCCCCTGTGCTCCACCTGTGGCTGACCCCAGGGGTCTCTGTGCAGCATGGCTGTTCTCTGCACTCGCTGCCCCCAGTGGTGAGTCTGCAGTATTGCGTCTCTCCTCTCTGTGCCCCTCCCTGGCCATGTTCTGGAAAACCATCGGATTCCAGGCACTTCCTGTTTTCCTGCCACCACCGAACCCAGGCCTTGGTTTAAGTTAGGATAACTTAGCATCTCAAATTTGGTGGTCCTAGCTTTTATGGTTTTGGAGGAGTTATTGAGCAAACGGACTCACGGACGCACAAACAGACAGATGTACGCACTCTGAAACATGGATACAGATCACACACGGGAGAGGTTTTGGAGTCACCGTGGATAAAGTTCTGAAAACGTCCTATCAGTGTGCAGGGGCAGTGTGAAAAGCAAGCAAAGTGCTGGGAATCATTAAGGAAAGGAGAGAGAATAAGAATAGATCAGGTGCCACTATATAAATCCATGGTACATCTGGGATACTGTGCACAGATGTGGTTGACCTACTTCAAATAATAGATAGTGGAAAAGGTTGAGAAAAAGGCAACAAAAATGAAGAGGGGTATGGAACGGCTGCCATAGGACGAGAGATGAAAACTAGCGGGACTTTACAGTCTGGAAAAGAGATGAGTAAGGAAGGAGACGATCGAGGTCTATTAGTGGAACCAGTGAATATAAAAGTGTGATTTACTGCTTCATGCACCACCCCAACCAGAGTCACCCAGTGAAATTAACAGGCCGTGGGTTTAAAATAAGCAAAAGGAGGTGTTTCTTCCCACAGTGCACAACCTCTGGAACTCACTGCCAGAGGACTTTGTGAAGTCAAAAACTACAGCTTGAACCCCTCTAGTCTGGCATTCTCTGGTCTGGTAGCATCTCTGGACCGGCATGATTTCAGTTAGCCAGATAATAATGCGTGTGGCTAAGCTTCCCGCACTCCCCAAAAGTTTGTTCGACAGGGGACGCAGTAACTGCCCCGGTCTGCTCGTTCCCTGGGATGCACCTGCCATTGGCCGCTGTCAGAGGACAGGGTGCTGGGCTGCAGGGCATTGGTCAGATTCAGTGTCACACATGCCAAGAAAGTCTCAGAGGGGTCATAGAATCCTAGAATCATAGAGCTGAAAGAGACCTCAGGAGGTCATCAAGTCCAGCCCCCTGCCCAAAGCAGGACCAACCCAACTCAATCAACCCAGCCAGGGCTTTGTCAAGCCGAGACTTAAACACCTCTAGGGATGAAGAGTCCACCCCGTCCCTAGCGAGCCCATCCCAGCGCTTCCCCACCCTCCTAGGGAAATAGCTTGTCCAAATATCCATCCTAGACCTCCCCCACTGCAACTTAGAATCATAGAATAATAGGACTGGAAGGGACCTCGAGAGGTCATCGAGTCCAGCCCCCCGCCCTCAAGGCAGAACCAAGCTCCGTCTACACCATCTCTGACAGATGTCTATCTAACCTGTTCTTAAATATCTCCAGAGAGGGAGATTCCACCACCTCCCTTGGCAATTTATTCCAATATTTGACCACCCTGATAGTTAGGAATTTTTTCCTAATGTCCAATCTAAACCTCCCCTGCTGCACTTTAAGCCCATTACTCCTTGTCCTGTCCTCAGAAACCAAGAGGAACAAATTTTCGCCTTCCTCCTTGTGACACCCTTTTAGATATTTGAAAACCGCTATCATGTCCCCCCTTAATCTTCTTTTTTCCAAACTAAACAAGCCCAGTTCATGAAGCCTGGCTTCATAGGTCATGTTCTCTAAACCTTTAATCATCCTTGTCGCTCTTCTCTGTCCCCTTTATCCTACTACAGTTTTCACTTTGTCTATACAGGGCTTTATAGTGTGGCTACTTTACAAAGATACAAGGAATTTAGCGTCTACACTATAGATACAGGCACACATACATTGTCTCATAGATACCGCAAGAGGAAAGTCCAAATCCTGCTTTCACATTAACAAGTACAACTCTCACTGAATTCAGTGTGCTGTGTGCAAGTATCTAAAGTCAATTTGGCTCAATGACTTTAAAGACTTACCAGAAATTATTTCTGATGCAGTAATATTTATAGTATAGATTCTTTAACTATGTAAAGAAATTTCAATGAGGTTCAAGAATAAGGCTCCCTTGGGTCATTAATGGTGCAGGCCAGTGTTTTTCAATTTCAGGCCTGTGGACCCATGTCGTCCACAGACTATGTCCATGAGGGTCTGTAAAAGGTCATTGTTGCCATAGAACAGTGATTTTTCAACTGTGATCTGTGGACAACATGGGGGTCCACAGAGTACATCTAAGATTTCCAAAGGGGTCTGACCTACATTTCAAATTTTTAGAGGTTAACAACAACTCTCTGACTATGGTTATCCAGCCAATTATGCACCCATCTTATTGTGGCCCTATCTAAGTTATATTTGCCTAGTTTATCAATAAGAATATCATGCGAGACCGTATCAAATGCCTTACTAAAGTCTAGGTATATGACATCCACCGCTTCTCCCTTATCCACAAGGCTCGTTATCCTATCAAAGAAAGCTATCAGATTAGTTTGGCATGACTTGTTCTTCACAAACCCATGCTGGCTATTCCCTATCACTTTATTACCTTCCAAGTGTTTGCATATGATTTCCTTAATTACCTGCTCCATTATCTTCCCTGGGTCATTTGTGAACTTGCTGAGGGTGCAATCCATCCCCTCAGCCAGGTCATTAAAAAAGATATTGAACAAAACCAGTCCAAGAAGAGATCCTTGGGGCATTCCACTAGAAACCGACTGCCATCCTGACATCGAGCTGCTGATCACTACCTGTTGGGCCCAGTAGTCTAGCCAGCTTTCTATCCATCTTGCAGTCCATTTATCCGATCCATACTCCATTAACTTGCTGGCAAGAATATTGTGGGAGTCCATATCAAAAGCCTTGCTAAAGTCAAGGTATATCACATCCACTGACTTCCCCATATCTGCAGAGCCAGTAACCTCATCATAGAAGCTAATCAGGTTGGTCAGGCACGACTTGCCCTTTGTGAATCCATGTTGACTATTCCTGATCACTTTCCCCTCTTCCAAGTGCTAGGGTCACCGGGCTGGTCTGTAACTTTGAAAACAAGTCGTCTTGTGGCACCTCAGGGTGTGTCTATACTACAGGGTTTTGTCGACAAAAGTGGACTTTTGTCGACAAAACTATACATGCGTCCACACTACCGCTGAGTTCTGTCGACATAACGTCGACAGAACTCAGCAATTTTGTCGACGCTGGTAAACCTCATTTTACGAGGCATAACGCCTTCTGTCGACAGAGTTTCTGTCAACAGAAGGTGTTATTGCATGTAAACTGTC